CACACCACCGGCGCATAAATGAGCCGGCAAATTGCCTGTTAGCCTATTGTTCGCAAATTCGATACTTTTAAGTTTCGAATGAAGGCCTAATTCGGGAGGCAGGACCCCAGTGAAGTCGTTGTTGAATAGCCGAATGTCTTTCAGAGCTGGAAGTCGACCAATATTTGCCTGTATCTCGCCAGATAATCGATTATAATACATAAACAAATACTCCAAATTATTCAACTTTCCAAAATCTTCCGGTATCGTACCGGTCAAGTTGTTGATCGAAAGATCTAGTTTGTTCATACTCAAACATTCAATCCTTCTAGGAATCTCACCGGAAAATTTGTTGTCGTAAAGATACAGATGTTCTAGCTTATTCAAAAGAAAAATACTGTTAGGAATCCATCCGTTCAAATTGTTCCATGCGAGATCCAAGTGGCGAAGCTCCGTAACATTGCCGATTGATTCTGGAATTTGCCCAATAAAATTTGTACTCGTCATCCACAAATACGTCAGTTTCTTTAACCGAGTGAATTCAACCGGGAACCTCGAAGGCAAGAAATTATTGTAAGCCATTTCCAGGGATTCAAGGTTCGACAAATTACCGATTTCCGGAGGGAAGGTCCCATTAAAAGTATTGTGATTAAGACGAAGGGTCTTCAAGTCTGATAAAAGTCCAATTGCCGCCGGGATGTCACCGGTGAAGTTGTTGAAGGCTTGAAGCCCAGATTTAGGTAGGTGAGGCGAGAAAGTCGGTGGATATCACCAGGAATCAAGCCGGCGAAGTAATTCTGAGAAAGGTCAAGATATATGAGTTTCGAACAGTTGTACAGAAAGGTGGGGAATTCTCCAGTAACGTAGTTGTATGCAAGGTCGAGGTGGTTGAGATTCTCGAGATTGCAGATGACCGGAGGGATTTTTCCTGTGATGTTCCAGTTGTAAAATGAAATGGCGGTGACGGAACCATCGTGGCAGGTGATTCCAGTCCAATTGCAGAAAGGAAACGATGAGTGCCATGAGTTCATGGGAGGTTGATTCTGCCAGTTTTGCTGTAGTTTGAGTAGGATGAACTGTTCATCGTTTGTCGTTTGGGAGTTGGCCTGCAAGAAGGGTAAGAAGAAGAGGAGGAAGAAGAGGAGACGAGCAAATAGAGGGAGTGAAATCCCAGATATTGTATAYATTGGAGTGGGGATTGATGMATGAAGGATGACGATGAAACTGACATAACTTTAGTTTTTTGCTTTGCCAGGAAAGGACGTTACCTGTATTAGCATGTGGCAAACAGCTTATGAAGAAAGAGCAAAGCCCAGTTTTGAAACTCAAGACCGGAATTCGAGCTTGACTTGTTTACCTTGGGAAAGGTTATCTGCAGCGAGGAGGGAAGTCGCCGGAGAGGAGAGGGCTGGGAGTCCTTGCAGGCGATCACTTCACCGAGGCACTGACGGACSGATACTTTTGTATTTTTAATGATTTGGGCTATGTCCTATAATATGTGTGTGTTAGTTCTATATCGTCGTTCATCACCCAATGGATTGTGCTGAATCAAATGAACCGAGTAGATGTAGAGATGGACGGCTGAGATTTTGGCGTATCAAATCTGCATATAGGAGAAAAAGAGTAGCGCACAATATAGGATCATCAAAAAAATGCAAAAAAAATCTGGATGGAGCCAAAATTTGGAAGTTGTTTGACCTTCTAAGTTATCTTTGATTTTTGCACGCTCGCTATCACATCATCCGGTTAGACTGGGTTAAATGGATATCCATTGATTCAATAAGAACTGAAATTTGAATCCAGAATAATCCAACAATCATAAAAACATTTTCAAATAAATAATCAAATAAATTTCTTTTTATAGAAAATAAATAAATAGGTGATAATTTAAAATGAATGATTGTGTGTGAAAGTATTGCATCGTCTTCCATCAACATGTGGCATTAAATAAGGGTCTATAGCCACTTTAAAGTCTTSAGGACGCCATTGTTGACAAAAAGAACGTAGAAAAACACAGTAAACTAACAACAGACGACGAAACAACAATGAACACTAGGAGTGAGGATTCAAACAATGTTGAATCCGGGTTTGAATTCCGTGGAGTGTGATGAGTACTTTTCAAACTCTTCTCTTCGCTTCCATCCAAAAAAAAAACTCTCTTTCATGGTGTTTATCATCTAAGACCTACATATTATGCCTTACAGAAAGAGTTCTTATGGTCAATGTTTTGGTGCTGCTTCCCAACTTCACTCTGTGGTCAATGGGCCATAAYACCGCCATTGAAGCACCATCTCTGTCACAACGGATGGAGTAAAAAAGCAGCCCAAGTTTTCATTCATTGACAATGGAAACGTTTTTTTTTTCCCTTACCATAAAAGTATCTACCTA